AAAATTATCTAAAATTTTAAAATAGTTTGAACCCAGTAAATATATTTTTGTCCTTAATCTTGATTATTTAGCATTTATTTTTGATTCAAAATTTGGCAGTTATTGTGTGGATAACATTTTATGCCATTTTCAGAATACTAGCCTTTTAGCTATTATGTTCAAAGTGAATGTCTTAAGTCTCAGCCAACAATCATATAATCACTGTTGAGTGCTCAAATAAAAATTAACATAGTTATTCATACTTTACGTAAGAATTAAAAGATAATATCGAGCACTTGGCAATCATAATTGAGATATACTCGTGTTAGAGGAGAATCAGTATTTCACTTATTGGATTTGTTAAGTAATAGTAATGCATACATATTGTTAATGAAATGATTTATTCAGGTGTGAATATAAAAACATTTGCTTTTGACCCAAATATAACAGATTCCCCATCATATGTTCGACTCAGACATTTTGAGGATGATTAAAAGGGAGATAAACAGATGAACTTGAGACATTGCTTAAAACTATTCTGAGATTTTATCTGAAGTAGAATACCTGTATTTTAGATTGTACTATATAGTATATACTAGATATTAAAATATTCAGCTTTGTATTCAGACATAAGTGAATCTGATTTTGTAACCCATTAGATTGTACATGAACAATTTAATTAACCTTGTTACATTTTTGAGTACTTAACTGAAAATGGGCATTATAATAGTATCCAACCTACTCTGTTATTGTGACATTTATGTGAATAATGCATAAAAAGTTATTAATTTAGGACAAGACAAGTGATGATATTCAACAAATATTACCTATTATTATTATTATTATTATCATCTAATAATGATTTATCATTGTTTAAATGAAGTCTGTGTGGGAAAAAAAGAAGTATAGCCCAAGTCATGACAAAAAACTAAAATTTTTCTATGAACGTCAGGTGTCTTTCATCTTAAAGATGATACGGTATTCGTATGTTTATGTTCAATATAAAGTGAAAATAAACACTGAAAATATAATACATAAATGAACCACTGGCTATATATATTTCTTCTGTCTTCATTTTTAATATTAGAAACTAAAGTGCATAAGTGATATCATTAAGGAATGTCAACCCAAAGTCAATAGAGACGGAAAAATTTTTTAAATTATATTGCAGAGAGGTGGAGCCCTGTTGGCACAGTGGTTAAGAGCTACAGCTGCTGTCTAAAAGGTCGGCAGTTCGAATCCACCAGCTGCTGCTTGGTAACCCTATGGGACAGTTTTACTCTGCCCTCTAGGGTCTGTTTGAGTCAGAATTGACTTGATCACAGTAAGTTTGATTTGGTTTGGTGCAGAAAGGTTTACGTAATACCTAAAATGTAAAAATAACTTAACATTTATGATCAATAAAAAATTGAGGAATAAGATTATAATATTTCTTTTGAAAACATAACTCCTTTTGTTGAAGCTATGTTTTAATTTTAAAAATGTTAGGAATTATTCAAACTCTTGCATAACAACTACAAACCCTTCATCAACAATAACTCATCAAGAAACAATTATCGGAGCTTATGTTTATTTATGTTCCGCAATACTGATCTAGGAAATGAGTTCTATTTACAACCATGTTCCTATAACACGTGATTTCTTGCATATTCACTAAGGGCTCCAGTAGAAGGCCCTGAGATAGTACATTTTAGAAGACTACTTTCATAATCCACTTTCTAGTTCCTCTCACTTCTCTAGGAAAGTTGCTGAAAATTTGCAATATGCAGTAATACAATGATGGTTATGAACATCTGATTTATTACTGTAACCTTGTTCTAGCTTTATAAAAGTGAGTAAACCAAACTAAAACATGTTGCCATTGAGTCAATTCTGACTCATAGTGACCCTATAGTGACCCTGTAGGACAGAGTAGAACTGTCCCTATAACGGTTTTTCCGAGGAGCAGCTTGTGGATTAGAACTGCCGACCTTTTGGTTAGCAGCTGAGCTCTTAACCACTGTGCCACCAGCGCCCCAAAAGTGAGTAACAATAATAATTATAACAGCTAAATGACAAGCATTACACTATGTGATTTCTTTTCAATCCTCACGAAAGCCTTTCAGTTAATTATTATTGTTATCATTATTTAAAATTGAGAACAATGAAGCAAAGAGTTAAGAAATTTTTGCCTAAATTCATGCAGTAAGTAAAAAGCCAAGCAACAATTTAAAACCAGACATTCTGACTCCTGAGTTCAAACTTTTAATCTCTCAAATCCTCTAAAGACACCAGATTAATCAGTATTAATTCATCTAAATTTTGATGATTTATTTAAATGCATTTGCCTTGGTCCCATACACCCAGGTAGAACTGAGGTGGGGGTGGGGAGTCCAAAATCAAATACCTATTGTTGTCGAGTTGATTCCAACTCATAGCAGTCCTATAGGACAGAGTAGAGCTACCCCATAGA